TGTAACACTGTAGCACTGTAACACTGTAGCACTGTCCCATTGAACAGAAATGGACATTATGTAGCACTTTTCTAGTCTTGCTGACCACTCAGAGCTTTGTGCATTACTTGCACCCTTTACCCAAACACTTTGAGCTTTTATCTGACTCACATAGCCCCACATAAATATCTATGGATGGAGGGAGGACTGTAAGGAAACCTGTGCAGGTACAGGGAGGACGTATGAATCCCACACAGAGGTTCAAACCTACAACCTTCTTGCTGCGTGATGAAAGCCAACCAAACTGCAGAGTCACCAGTGAGTTGGAAAGCAATTAATGTAGGCAGGTACAAGAATGTTCCTCCCAGGCTAATGATCCCCTGCTTGACTTTGCAGTCTGTTTACCCTTTTCTGTTATTTCATAAAAAATGTGCGCAGAAAGCCATACTGAGAATATTTCAAAGTGCACCTGTGTTATTCATCTGGAGGCATGCTTCAGCGATGTGCCATTATCTGGGTTAAACATTATGTGGATAAGCTGCTCCATCACACTGTATGAGTGTGAGTCTGTGTTTGCGCAGTGCCTGTCATGGGAGCTGGGCCCATACAGGAGGTCGAGGAGTTTTGGCTGAAAGTGTGTAAAGCCGGCTTTTTATTGACGGACGGAGCTGGAAGCACAGCAGTGCAGCGGGTACTGACCTTCGCCTGAAGAAGCTCGTTGCACTGCAGACCTACAGGAGGCTCTGGGAGAACCAGCGGCTCGATCGTCTGATTGGTTTGATGGTCGGCGTGTATATTTTAAAAACGAGCCTCGTATTGATCCAATACATGTACACAAGTTCCTCTAAAGCATTTTTTAAGGTTTAACTTTAAACTCAACATTAGACATCCCTCCCCCCCAGGCTTAGTTTAGTGTGAAACTACTGGGTTTGTTACAAAGTCATTATTTTAAGAGTTGTGATTTGAAACAAGCTGCGATCAGCTGCAAACTGTTTCCATCTAACAAGATATAAAGTGAGAGAGAGCCGCATGACGGAGGTGTGCTGATGTGATGCTGTCCTTATTGTTGGTCTTTGTCTCTGTCTGTCCTCTCTCTGCTCCACAGAAAAGTGGAGACTGTGTGAACACATGAAGCAAAGGCGTTGTGGGTGGGGCCTGTGTAGCAACCAGTCCAGTCGACATCAGCTATTCCTCTTTATCCTCTCTGCCTACCAACTCTCCTCCTGTTGCTCTCAGACACAAACATGCTACACATGTGGACACATACATGCACAAAAGTGTCATCACTGATGATGTGTGGTGCACAGATCTGCAGGCTGTCTGCACACCTGCTTACCAAACGATGGCTGCGAGTGTGTCATTAAACAACTTTGAATACAATATATTCCAAACCAGCTACACTGCAGTAGTTTCACACACACACACACTCGCAGTGCTGAGGTTGCACTGATCTTCTTGATGCCAGTATGACAACAGTAACAGAGTTCCTCCATCTGTCCCTCCAGAGAGTATAGGCGGGAACAAAGACCTCCGGTGTGAGGGATGTGAGAAACGATCAGAGGCTGGAAGAGTGGAAACAAAGCAAGTATCCAGAACTGATGAAAAGGTTCATGGAAAAGAGAAAAGGAGCAGCTGGAGGGTCAGTCAGCAGCCAGGTGCTTATTAGAGACCTAGAAGGGAAAGAAAGACGAAGGTAATGACCAGGCTGCTTCGGCTTCTTGCTTGCACCACTGGTTCATTAGTGTTAATTATTCATGTTTTACATAGAACGATGCAGATGGAGGGATAGTGACTTTTGAAGAGCAGAGGATGGAAAGATGAGAGCAACAGTCTAAAGCAGAGGGGAGATGTGCAGCTGCCTCCTCCCTTCACTGCTCTCAGTGCGTCTGTAAGCTAATAAATAATTGAGTGTGCCGAGCAGCGCGCTGCATGGGAAGCCTGCTGGAGTGCTACACAGTGAAATGAGGACCTGAGATCTTTAAACTCGTCTTCTGCTGCTCGTCCCCACTTTGATCCCTTTCTCTTTAGCTGTGGGTCGAAGGCGTTTGGGACAACGCGCGGTCCAATCCTGCGCTGTACATTTCCTTTGAGCCGGGCTTAGATCCACTTCTACTCTGCAGGGTTAATTCATGCTTTATTTGAGAGAGAGCAGGAGTCTACTCTGTTCTGCACCTTCACTTTGTTTATGAGGCGAAGAGTAAAGAGCGAGCTACAGCACAGAAACACGCTGATAGGCGTTTTCTGAGAGCAGCTCAATGTGAGAGCAGTAGTGACATGTGCACAGCTGGCAGTAAACGGCTGAACCTGCATGACCATTTATAAGTAATATTATATGTGGGTTTGCATAATATCCCATTATGTACCACATATAGTAATTTTATACTGAACTTTAAATATTGTAATTTCTATATGATTATTATTTTGTTCTTTAGCAGCTTTCCGATGTTTCCATTCATTTTATATGGCATGTATTAAAGACGTGTGACAGGGCCTCCTGCAGAGTGTTTTTGAAATGCTTCACAGTGACTTTGAGAAACACTGATGAAAGTGTAGTCCACTTTACATATAAGATATACATATAAGACTGTGTCTCAGGCTGACCACTGTTATACTTTAGAGAGGCTTTAGAACAGGTTTTGTTTAAGGAGCCACTAAAATGACCTGTAACCTTCCTTAAAGCTGTTATTTCTGGTTTTCACTCAGTCATAGTTACTATAAATCACAGACAGCAGCACAAAATGGATAGTTTTAAAAAGACTATCCATTTTTTAATGGATGATCATGAATAGACTTTTTCAAAACACAAAGTTACAAAGTGCCACATAGTTTAAATAAAAGCTGCACATTAAAGATAAGTGTACATGTTCCAACATACATAATCATCCACACGGTCACTTTCATTTTGCACAAATAGAGATCAACTGTGGTCCAAATCAATGAGAGACAAAGGGGAAAAGAACCTATAGAAATGAGAATAAAACAAACCACAGCTGACCTGTTAGGCTGTTACAAATGTAGTTGCTATAACCTCATCAGCATGATGGCTTTAGGGTGTAAGGTTGTGCTGTAACATGTGAATACATCCAGTTCGTAATGGCTGTTCAGGTTGTTTTCCTTGAACAGAAAAGTACAGCTGTGCATCGTTTGCATAGTTAGAAGAGTCACTGAAAACAGGTCACATATATAAAGACAATAGAAGGGGTCCAAGGACGGAGCCCTGGGGGACTCCACAGAGGGGGACACTCAGTGATGGCAGCTCAGTGTTGTACGTGTGCAAATACATGTGGTGGTGTACAAAAGTGACCAGCTGCACTGAGGTGTGATTGATGCTAACATTCAGTGATTATAAAACATGGACTGA